TATATATATATATCTTAATTCAGATAATAAACTTCCAAATTATATAAATGTTCCTTTAAATCAATAATTATTTACATTTATAATGCAATGGGGTTCATTTAAAATATTTAGGGTACATTTAAAATTTGAGGCTTATTAGACGTCCGACAAAAAATATTCGTTATTATTAAATTTAACAGCCTATTGCTTAGATGTTCATGACTTCCAAACTTAAATACTATTAAGAGTTATTATCCGTAATATTATGAATATGTATTAAATGATTTATTTTTAATACATTTTTAACAAAGAGTACCAGAGAGTTCTTAAGAAAGAGTTTTAACTAAAAAATTGACAGTCTAAGACGATAAAATAAAATTTATTTTTTATATTTTACTAATTTTAATTATGTAAAACAACTTCATAACACTTATGCATTGTTAAAAAACTTATTCCGTACTTAATCCCGAAGATATCATTGATTTCTTTTACACTCTGTAACACATTAACTGTTTAGTGTTTTCAAAGAGAAGCAACCGGATGTCAGATCCGTTACCAAAGATATATTTTTTAAAACTATTCATCAGATAATATTATCACTTTTTAATATTCCTTTATGATTCCGTATGTAGGAATAATCATTTTAAAGAGTATTATTGAGATTAAAGATTACTTTAGAAAGTTTTTGCTTCTTTCAAAATGTTTCCCGATCAGTTAAAAACTATTTACAATTAATAGGCGAGGCCTTAATAACTGACTGTCTTACACAAAGTAAGTCTGTAAACCATATTTGAGCCGTGATGTTTTGCAAAAGTTTACACGTCGTAGTAAATAACAATCAATTATGGAAAATCGTCCAGTTTATCACGCGTCAAATCGGTTCCCTATGTATTATACATATTAATAGATTTAATTCTAAATTCAAAAGCAAATCCCCCAGGTCTAAATTCTTATTCAATCTTGAGACCTACTATTCAAATGCGTGCAAGGCATACCTAAGAATCAATAGTAATCCCTAGCAATTATTTATCTTTAAAATTATTCAGTTTCAAAAATACCTCTAATTTGAAAATCACCATTTATCGAAAAATCCATTTTTAACTATGCAAACAATGCCTAACATACTAAAGTAAATAAGTTTGTTTTTCCTATGCTATTTACACGGAAGTAAGTAGATTAGTTTATTGACAAATGCTAAAATAAAGAGAAAAAAACAATTTTGAAAAAAAAATCTAGACAGGATGCATAAACGCGTTTAAAATAATCCTAATGTATTCAAAATGACAAAAAGAATTTCCTTTTATTGCAAGCAAATATACAAATGTATTTTACTTTATTTTATCTCGTTCGTTTTATATCGTAATATATGAAAAGTTATTTTGTAACAAAAAACTTCACTTGATTGAAAAAAGCTTTATTTATTTCAATCAAATGTTAAAACAATTTATTAACACTATTCCAATTAAATACAGGTGATATTAGAAATTTAGGAAAATAATTTGCAACCACTTTGCAATGTATATGAAGTATTTTAAATAAGGCATGATGTATCATAAAACATCAGGTCATTCAAAAGTTTATTTTTGTTATAAAATTCTTTTTTCATTCAAACAATTTATTAAATCAGAGTTTTAAATAAGTCATGATGTATCATAAAACATCTGGTCATTCAAACGTTTATTTTGTCTTAAGGAAAAAATTTCTGTCACAGAAGAGTTATTAAATCAGAGTTTTAAAGAAATCATAATGTATCATAACATCCGGTCATTCAAAAGTTTATTTTTGTTTTAAACTCCTTTTTCTGTCAAAGAGTTATTAAATCAGAGTTTTAGATAAATCATGATGCATCAAAAAACATAAGGTCATTCAAAAGTTTATTTTTGTCTTAAAATTCCTTTTTCCTTAAAAAAATTATTAAATCCGAATTTATACTGAAATCAATAGTTATAAAAGGACAATTAATATCAGGCTATTTTCTTATGTGTTCTATGTTTGCATTGAATAAACTTGCACAGAAATACGAAAAATAGTAGAATGAAATTACATGATTATGCCGCCTTTTTATCAGTTCTTATTTTTCATACTGTTAATTGTTACACACAAACATACATTTTACATATATTTCAGAACTTATATACATTGCATTGATTGTGAAGCATTCATTTTTTTTAAATTAACTTTGGAAATAAATGTACGCCAAGATAATAACTATCACCCATGAATAAATACCATTAAATTCTTAATATATGTTGCAAATTAGCATAAAGCTTATATTGATTTAATGTCGTATGGGATTTTATGAAGACTGAAACACCAGCTACACCAGCTTTCTTTGAAAAAGTTTTACTTATTTCATTACCAAGTAATACCTTATTTCAAATACCTTATTTTATGTTCATGATAAGATCTTTCTAATTCTAAACTCACATCAAAGAAGCCAAAATATTTCAAAATACAGTCTAATTCCGTTATAAGCATTTCATTTTTTTTCATTCGCTTACAGAATCTATTGAAATATTTAAGCTCATAATAAATTATTTTAATCATAAGTAAGTTTCATTAAATTCTTATTATCTGTTGAAATAGCTTCTATCGAAAGCTATTTTTACTTCAAAGCCTAAACATATTTAAGTCAAAACAATAGCTAATTACCTACAACATCCGAATATTTTCATTCAAATTTTTATGTAATGTATTATCAAGTAATACCTAATGAGTCCTTTTGAATTCCAAACTAGCATCAAAAGAAACCAAAATATTACAATCTAAGAGAAAAGGAGAAACCGTTCTTTTTCAAGGAAAAGAAGCCAGAAGTAATATCGTACCCAGACGTGAAAAAAAAGGTTTAATAAAAGAAACTTTTCACCAAGACCTATTTCATAAAAAAATATATATATATTTTGAAGAGAAAAAAAAATGTGTCTTTCATAATCTGTTAAAATGGAACAGAGAAGATGAGGCAAAAGTTTCAAAGAAATAAATGAAAATTCTAAAAGGAGTTTGCTTTCTGTTGCCAAAACGCCTTCAAGTAAAGTCAGAAACAAAGTTGAAAAGAAAAGGTAAGTGGCTTTACAGTAGCTCTAAAATAGAGTCTGTTTCTACGAATCTCAAGGGATGATAAGACATTTAAGACTTTTCCCTCAGAGGTTCGAACTCAAAGTTAGCTGAAAATTTTCGTTCACCACAGGAAAAAATGGGACTATTCTTCAGGGACTTAAAACATTCTTAAGATTATTTTGATTCTATTCCTTAGTTTCTGTAGTTTTTTTTCTTATTTTCTGAATGATCCTGCTAAAAATTGATAGGACTTATCAGGCCTCAAAATTTCAGTTTATGAGAAAAAGCTATATGACAGTACAGTTTGCAAGTAAAACAAACACCCTGAATGTAATGATCAGCAGATTTTCACACACTAGCATCTCAAAGGATAGAGAACCTAACCTTACATATAATATTGAAATAGTGCAGACAAAAATCAAATCATACACAAAAAACCCTCCTTCTAAAAATAAATTCTTAAGATAAATAAATATATCGTATTTTTTATAGATTTGGAAGTTTAGTCTCCAAAATGTTGGGGTAGTTGTAATTTGTAAAATATAAATTATCATTATAAAAATAAATGAAGAAAAATAATATAGTATCAGTATATAAAAACACGCCACTGTCTATTCCAAAAGTTTCTACTATTCTTGGCACACTGAAAAATAAATATTGCCGTGATAAAATTTGTAGTGTTTCGGGCTTTATAGAAATAGCAAAATATTCGGTAATTGTTACCGAAGCGCTTTAGTAGTGAGTTTGGTAAAATTAGCAATAAATATGATTGGCTTTATAATATGGGATAAAGCTTGATAAATTCTGTAAAATATGGTAACTTTATCATAATACCTTAGAGGATGGCATAACAATAACTTATTCGGTTAAATTTACTTTTCAGTTTTCTATTTTTTTTACTATTTATGCGATAATAGAAGCTATAATTTTTGAAAATCACAATTTCCGGTACACCGTTAACACATGAACAAACAATTTATCAAATGTATTTTTTAAATTCCCAATATTTTGATTTCACTAACCAAAAACATATGTTTTTCCCCAGAAATGTTTTTACCTCACAGTACAGAAATTTTATCTTTCTTTTTATTTTATTAAATTTCTGAGTTTATATCTCGACTGTTTTGCTCTGCTTTTTACTTGTTAATTAGTTTAGAAATCGTTAACTAATTTTTTTCAAATAATTTAAAATCATATAAGGAGAACGATGAGCATTAAAATAAAATTAATTTAATTCACAGTCTTCAAATTAGTATTTTCTCTCACAACTATCTCATCAAATTGAACTTAATACTACAATAACTAATTAAATGAAGTAAAAGTTTTATCTCAAGTTCAATGCAACCATGTCTTCAAACTTTTAATTTAAAGGAGCTCACATCTTTAATTCACCATTGCCCTTCATTTCAAGCCATGTCAAATAATTTAATACGCCGCTGTAACTCTTTCCCAAACTTTTTTATTGTTTTTCGTCGGACTTTGTGTTAACACTGTGTGATTAAATGTTTGCTCAAAGTATGAGAAAATAAAACCTGCACGCTAGTACAGAACTTCCTGAAAAATTCTAATAAATCTTTTGTTTGTCTGTTCTGTTAACCAAAGTTACCAGGACGGAAGTATTTTAAA